CCTACAGAGCCAGTTTTAATAGAGAGAGGTCTGGAAGAATATAGTTGTTTTCTGACTCCACTCCTTGAATGTACAAGCATCAATATTTTAACTAACCTACAGTTATATTATTATGTCATATCCCTTAATATAATTTATTGGAAGTGTTGAGATGTTGCAACTATTTCAACTATGTACTCGCCACTGCCTAGTTCTTCCCATGAGCAGCCTGGATGAATTGCAGTTCTTGAATGGGACTAGATTTAAACCATTTAATGGCTTTACTTTCAGATGCCTTGTCTCCCCAAAAGAGGAAAATATAAAGTATTTGGGAACATACAGATTGCATCTCTGCACCATAAAGATTAGGAAATTTTTCCCATTGGATTATTTTATTTGATCATCCCAATAATACTAGTATGATAAATGCTGTTAGGATTATTATTTTATTTTATTTTGTTTTTTTGAGGCAGGGTCTCCCTCTGTTGCCCAGTGCAGGTGGCACGATAATGGCTTACTGCAGCCTCTACCTCCTGGGCTTAAGTGATCCTCCTGCCTCAGCCGCCCAAGTAGCTAGGGCTACAGGTGTGAGCCACCTTGCCTGGCCAGGATCATTGTTTTATAGATGAGAAAACTGAGGCTCAAAGAAGTTATTTACTTCAAGGTCAGTTTTCTACTTTTGATAAAGGGAGATTAGCTAGCTGCAAACCTTTTCTGTCACAAAAAAACAACTAGAAAATTTGACAGAAAATATTTTTAAAATCTATTTCAAGTCATTGGAGAGCTATCAAAGCAGCAAGAACTTGAAGGGCCAAGATCTGAAAGCTGAGAGATTATATTTGGCACTACTTTTCTCCTTGAAGCACTTGCTAATTACTAAGCAATGTCTTGGAGGCTAAGAATCTTGACTGAAATCAACAACTAAGAAGCTGAACAGTACCTTTAGCAATCTCATAGGGTAGGGATGGGAGGAGGGAATGGTGGACATGAAGGAGGGGACAAAAGTAGGAGTCCAGAGCCCCCAAGGAGAAGCCCTGGTACACACCCATAGTTTTCTCTTGAGATCCCTAAAGGGCTACACCCTGAAAGTCAAGGTGAACTGGAAATAGAACAGCCCTCACAAAGACTGAAGCTCAACTTCTCTTTGGCTCAATCCCTAACTGGACTAAGACTTTACCAAGCCATTATATACTGCCTACTAGAAGCAAAAATTAATCCCCTCTTGTGGAAGATAAAATCATCCAGAAGCTAAGGGGGAATATCTGTTAAGAGAGTGACTGTATTAATAATTCTTTACATGTGGAAAATGAGGAGGGTTTTTTGTTTTTTTGTTTTTTGTTTTTTGCAAAGTCCTCTTGCAGCATAACTTCTCCAATAATCCAGTATAGTAGACTTAGTGCATTTTACAGATGAGGAGTGTAAACCAAAAATAAAATTCTAAGGCCCCCCCAACCATCTGAATGGACTTTCTTCTAGGCCAGGGCACTCTAAAATGTAACCTAAAAGGCTGACTCAGGCCATGACTGGAAGTGGGGGTGACACACATGCCTCCTTATAGCTCTCCAGCATTAATATCAACACAGACCTTAAGTCTGATAAGAAAAATTGACAGTCTATTCTCTTGGAAGCCTGCCATCTGGAGGCTTCACCTGCATGATAAAACTGGTCTCCGCAAACTCATACAGCAACCCAGACATTCCTTTCTATTAATTGCCAATTAGAAAAATTTTAAATCTACCTATAATCTGGAAGCCTCCCACCTAACACTTTCAATTATCCCAGTTTTCTGGACTGAGCCAATGTACCTTATAAATATATTTGACTGAAGTCTCATGTCTCCCTAAAACGTATAAAACCAAGCGGCACGCTGACCACCTTGGGCACATGTTCTCAGGGTCTCCTAAGGGCTGTGTCATGGGCCATGGTCACTCATATTTGGCTCAGAATAAATCTCTTCAAATACTTTAGTGTGTTTGACTCTTTTCGTCGACAGGAACATAACACTAAGACTTTACCAAGAACTCTGAAGAGTGGTTACCAGGCTCCAGATGTGTTTGGCTTCTATCTCATATGCATAGGCTTTTTAAGAAGTATAAGATATAATGGATTTCCTAAACTAATAAAATTGCTAATATAAGTTTAAATCAATTTTTAACATATGTTTGGGAAAAAGTAAATATTGGTTGAGAACATAAATTTTGTGTTCATTTATTATCGCACTGAATAACAAACTTGTAAATCATAAATGTATATTATATAGTAAAACAAAGATTAGACCAAAATAGACCATAGTACCTTAAACACTTCCTATGAATTAATATATGGACTCTATCATATATTCCTTTAGAGAATTCAGGATTTTTTTCTTTTTTGAATTTGGAAGCCAACTTAAAAACTAACAATAATTATGTACATTTTGGTGTGTCATTACTACTTGTATAACTCCAAATGGCAAAATATGTAGGTAAAGAAATGTAGGCATTCTGAAGGTCAGCTTTTAAGCGTCCTTAAAAAGTCATGAGAATATTAACTATGTCTTTGAACAATGATTCACTGATTAAGAATTATTAACCGGCTGGGCATGGTGGCTCATGCTTGCGATCCCAGCACTTTGGGAGGACAAGGTGGGTGGATCTTCTGAGGTCAGAAGTTCAAGACCAGCCTGGCCAACATGGTGAAACCCCATCTCTACTAAAAATACAAAAATTAGCCGGGCGTGGTGGCAGGCGCCTGTAGTTCCAGCTACTCAGGAGGCTGAGGCAGGAGAATGGCATGAACCCGGGAGGCGGAGCTTGCAGTGAGCCGAGATCACACCACTGCACTCTCCAGCCTGGGCAACTACATCTAAAAAAAAAAAAAAAAAAAAAAATATATATATATATATATATATATATATGAAGCTTTTAGTTCAATTCTGTTCTCACATTTGGGTAACTATTTACATATTCCTAGGTGCTTTGAAGACATATATTTAAAATGCATGAAAATTCTAAGACTCTCAGAACTCCTGAGTTACCAAATATTACAAATACCCAGAGGTGAGAAGAACTGAAATCCATCATTAAAAATTTCCATTGTTTGGCCGGGTGCGGTGGCTCACACTTGTAATCCCACCACTTTGGGAGGCCGAGGCAGGCAGATCACGAGGTCAGGAGATCGAGACCATCCTGGCTAACACGGTGAAACCTCGTCTCAACTAAAAATACAAAAAAATTAGCCAGACATGGTGGCAGGTGCCTGTAGTTCCAGCTACTCAGGAGGCTGAGGCAGGAGAATGGCATGAACCCGGGAGGCGGAGCTTGCAGTGAGCCGAGATCACACCACTGCACTCTCCAGCCTGGGCAACTACATCTAAAAAAAAAAAAAAAAAAAAAAAATTCCATGTTTCTAAAGTTGTGAATTATAAGGCTGTGCCTTTAACATTTATTCTCATGTGCTTTAGTCATAGAGTGATTTTAAATAAACATCTTCATTTCAAAATTTAGTAAGTATGATTCTTCACCATTATCAAAGTTGTATGAAAATAATCACACATAGTATGCATAATTTGTGTTATTTGCTATCTGTTTTTTAATTTCTTTTTTTCTACATGTTCTAAGATTTGCTATCTATTATGATTTGCTTACAATAGATTTCCTTGGAACTAAACTATAAATCAGATGATCAATATTTCAAATGATTCCAGATTAGCTAGCATCTATTTACCATCAAATATACACTTAAGAGTTGATTAGCTATTAAAATGTACAAACAATGTAAAAATTTAAAACAGCATGAATTATTCTTCAAAATTATATTTCTTATATAATATGATATGAAATACAAAGTTTTTTTATAATTTATTTTGAGGACAAAGAAGTACTAAAAGATCTAGCAGTCTGTTGAAATAAAACATGTTAAATGGTATATGATTTATTTATGTGAAAAAAAGCCTATTTTTAAGTAGCTGACTAAACGTGAAAATGATTGAAAATATGACGTTTAATATACCATTAATGCAAATTAAATTACTGGGAGAGGAAGCTGATGGACTGTGACATTCAAGTGATTCTGAGTTCCTTTATAGACCTGTTCAATTTGAGATGCTTGACAGGGCTGCCATATTGAACAACCTCTATTCATTCTATGTGGATGGTGCCACATGAAGTTGTACAGCATTGGCCTAAATTATGAGACATCTACATAGACATCCAGGAGTTAGTTGGAATTAAGGGGGAAAAAAATTCAAGAAAGATGTCAGGGTTATAACTGCAAATAGATAAGAACTGAAGTCATGTATCTGGGTGACATTCCCCATGAAGAGATGGCAAAAGGAGTAGAAGTGCAAAGACAGAAACTTGAAGAACATCTTCATTTAGTGACTAGAGGGAGGGGCCAATTAAAGAGACATAGGCTTGTATTTTGGAGTTCAGCTTCACCCATTTATAACAGGACTGCTTACTCCCTGTGCTACACAGCTGACTCTGCATAAAAACCATTCCTTTCAATCATTGCGTTACTTACAGTCTCAGTCCTAAACCGCTCTTCTTGACCTTCTGACATTCTATTTCCTCCCCTTTTCTGCAGCCTCTACTCTCATTGCATGCCTTTCTGTTTATGGCCTCACCTTATACCTTAGAAATAAAGTACTCAGCACTGTTTTTCTATCTTTTGCTTTGTGCTTCTCTTACCTATCTCAGTTTGAACCTTCCCTCTGATAACAATGCTTCCTGTTAATCTGGGGACAATCCCATTATAATACCTAGGACCAATGTCTGAGTACAGCCTCATGCAAGTTGCATCTCCACTAAGTTTCCCTTGGACCCATGAGTAGGATAGATAGTCTAGAATAAAACCAGTATCATGTGATGTCATTGAAAGAAAACAAAGTTTCAAGGAAGATAGTCACTTGGGAAGGAGCTCCCTAATGCCTAAAAAATAAAGTCTCAAATTCTTAGCCTAGTCTTAATGATTATGCCCCATTCAACCTTTCCAGGCTTAGTTACTCCCATTTCCCTACAAGATACTACACTTGAAACTAGACTACTTGCTCTTTACTAGGTATCCTCCATGTGCAAAGGCCTCTATACTTTTGCTCATGCTGGCAACAAAGACAGCTGGGTCTCCTGTTAAATTTTAGTGTGAATGTGATTGAGCTTGGCACAAATTCAGCAATAAGTAACAGATACTTTAGAAATAAGGGAATCTCAGGTAACAATATGAGTCAGCGCCATAATACTCCTCAAGGTATTCTAAGCGATCATAAAGGGTCATTTTACTCAAGGATGATTGGGGAAAATAGAGTTAGGCTGAGATTAGATCTATTTATTCAGTCAAACAACTTCTCTATTAAAAATGGGTGGTCAGTGGCTTGTATGGCTTGTTTGGTATATAAATTGTCTCACTAAAGCTGTTATCACAAAAAAAAAAAAACAAATAAAACTAAACAAAAAAAATAAGTGGTAAATAGAATATCCAGGTACAAATTTTCAAAGACCAGCGATTCATTAAGGAGTGGGGTTCGATAATATTGTTTGGCCAGAAGATGCTGTCCCTCCAAGATCAGGTTTTCAAGAAAAGCAAGAGATGACCCAGAGGCCTCCGAGTTGATGCTCAAATGTTCCCGGATGACTGGCTACTGTTAGATACTTGGCTTCCTGCTGACCTTAGCAAGGGCATCACTGACAACATCGAGATCATGCTGCAGCTCATTCATGGCACTGGTTATGCTCTTGGTGTCTTTCAGGATCTGAATACTCCGTGTATATGGATTATACTTCACTCCAAATGGACGCTTAATTGTTTTGGTAAATTCTCTATTTAAGAAAACAAATAGAAGACAATCAATTTCTAGGGAGTGAATGATGAAAACCAAACAACAGAATCTATTTCACATACTAGGCAAAAGACAAATTTTTGTTAGATATGCATGCAACCAATCTGACCTACTTCTCTACACTGCATTTGCAGAGGCCCCCTGGAATCCCACACAAGTGGGAAACCTAAAGTAGTTATAACTATTTTATAACTATTTTCTAAAGTAGTCATAAATCCCTGGTATCACTAGGGAAAGATCCCATACATGGATTTATTAATCATTTATTACTATATACATCTCTTGACTAGAGTAAGGAGACCAATTATTGTAGTTTTATCAGTAGACATAAAACTGTTTCATTACAACACTTGACCACATAGTAACAGATCCCTCAGCCATGCCTTACATAACTATACCTACCCACACATGTAACCTGTGTGTTTATATAACACATACAGACGCACACATACTCACGTACCCCAAAATAGACTAGGAATGGTCCTACCTCCTGCACATGTAGATTTTTTCTGCTTAGAATGTTTCCCTCTAGGCTCCTTTCAAATGACCTAAATTCTGCCCTTTTTTCAAGCATTAAAGTTCTGCCTCCTTTATCAAACCACTGTTTGAACCTCCCATTTGGCACCTCCAAGAACAATCATGCCCAGGACTCCTAGGGATAAATATGCAGCTGAGGACAACTATACATGAGTAGCAGCTGAAATCCAACTGGTAATCCACCTGGTCTACACAGAGGGGATTCCCTTTTCTAATTTGCATAAAGTTGCCATTTATGCTAGAGGAATCCCTGCTAGTATTATTATTTGGTTTCGCGAATGGCCTAACTCCCCAACTAATGGTTTCTCTGAAAGATGAGAACTATGATTTCAACCCCTATCGATCCCCATCATCACAGTGTGACCTCATGACCGCTTCCACTCAATGTTGTCTCATTGATTCTGCTTCGAAAGTCTTTTCCTTTCCTACTACTTCTGTCTTAGTTCAGGCATTTGTTTTCACCTGAAGTGTTCCAAGAATCTTCTAAAAAGTTTCTCTGCCTCCAATATCCTCCTTTCTTAACCACACACTTAGCTGATTAATAAAGCGTAGCTTTGATTACGTTGTACGTATCTCCTATATTTCTCAACATCCTGACCTTTTTTCTTGCTATCTCTCAGCCTAAAACTTAATATATCTAAATATTACCTACCCTTCAAGTCCTTTCTCAAATAACATCAAGAGTACCCTGTTCGTCCACCTGAAATGAATTGCTCTTGCATAAAATGCAGAACAATGTTTCATCTGTATCTCTCCAAGGCTCTTGTCACTTTCCATGCTGTTATATAGTAATTTGCATATCATTTATTTTCCCTATTCAACTACTAAACTTTGTGATTTGAAGAACTGGAAAGAAAACAATTTCTCAATGTATCTGATACATATTTGCAACTATGCAAAATCCTTATACACAACATACTCTAGATACTTGTTATGAAAGGAAGATGTGTTACAGACAGAAGGCTCCTTGTGGACTTCAAATTATCTAGCTGCTTACTTCTGTGACTTGTTACCATCACGGGGCTGATCTCTTGCTGAAGAAAATGAAGGCATGAAGAAGATATACTGTACCTCATCTTCTCCTTTGCATCTTCAAAGCTTTCAGATACAAAGTAGACATCCTGAAAAGTTGTGATTAGACATTCCTGTTTGCAGGTAATCTTGGGATCAAAGGGCTTTACTTTGGCATGTCCAGAAAGTGCATGCTAGAAGACAAAGAGTCAGTGAATCAAAGAATAATATCTATTTTCATACTGGCACACCTCTAAACATATTACTAATGCAATGGCCCCAATCTACAATTCCAAACTTGTTTTCTATAGCTCTATTCAACCCACAGTACACTCCAGCAAAAGAAATGGCTTGCTCTTCCCTGTAAATGCCCCCAAGATCCTCTCCATGGCTTTGTTCTTCCTCTCTTCTTTGTGTAAAAGTCACCCAAGGATCTTTACTTACTTATTCCTGTATTATGTCACCTACTTTCTACCCAGCACTAGTTATTCCTGTGTATGACTCGTATACCCACCATCAAGTGCTCCCTGAAAGCAAGATAGTACCTTGGATGGTGTTTCACACACATTCATTACTCAACAAACATGAGTTTATTTATTCATTGAATGAATAATAAATCTCAAAGAATTCCCTAGAAATTATAGAAGTTATTGCTAGTATATCAGAAATGGTGAGGAAACAGCAAGACTTTGTAAGCAAAGACTTTAAAACACTTCTTATTTAAAATATATTATATACATACCATTTCATATATATCAGAAATACATCAAAATAGTTCATGTGTGTGTGTATTACTAATGCAATGGCCCAACCTACAATTCCAAACTTATTTTCCACAGCGCTATTCAACCCACAGTATACTCCAGCAAAAGAAGTAGCTTGCTGTTCCCCATAGATGCCCTTATAAAATTCTGATTTATATATGTGTGTGTATATATATACATACACACATTTGGATTATATTATATAATATATAATTGGGAAATAGAGAAAAATACATTCAGGTAATGATTAGTGACACCCCCAAGTATTTTCCATAGTAAGCTCTTGTTCAAAACCAAAAACTATTTCAGGTTTTATCAATTGTATTAGGTGAATATGATTATATACAAAGATTTGCAACTCTTACTTTGAGTTCACTGATAGAAGAAAGTAAGCCAGCACCAAAGACTCTTAGCTGTCCATCTTGTTTACACAGACCAAACTCCACAGTGAAAAAGTAGCACTGCAAAAAAAATGAATATTATTCTCACACACTGAAGAATTCAATTTAAAACAAATTACAATTCTTAGTCACTGACCCAAATACCCTAGAATAAAGTTCCAAAATCCCAGTCTAGTTCACAAGTCTTTCTACAATCTGGCCTCATCCTAAACCAGTACTTCTCAAGCTTCTGTTTTGATGACTTTTACATACTATTAAAAATTAGAGGACCCCAAAGCCTTTTTTGTGCATGTATGTATAGATTATCACTATCTCTATTAGCCATATTAAAAATTAAAACTGAGGGAAGAATGCTTGCTAATTAATTTTAAAATTTAGTAAACTCATTTTATGGTAACATAAATAATGTTTTAATAAAAATAACTATATTGTACAAAACAAAGAAGTAAAAAAGTAGCATTGTTTTACAATGTTATAAATCTTTTTAATGTCTGGCCAGAGTACAGATGGAGTCTCGTGTCTGCTTCTGTATTTAACCTTTTGGGATACACTGTTTGAGTACATGAGTTATATCAGCTTCATGCAGTTACCTAGTTAGAAAAGGGTTGAATATTTTAATAGTCTTTTTGTATAGTTGTGGATATTCTTCTTTGACTCTGCATGAAGACTCAACAAGTGGGTACAGATTTTTAAAGTTCAACTGCAATGCGGGATCTGAATTATGTCAATGAACTGCCTGTTATATTAAAATCCACTGTGTGCTTTGAATGGATCTTTCATCTAGGCACGATTTTGACCTCAAGGACCCCATAAAAGAGTCTCAGGGACCCCAAGGGTCCCCAAACCACAGTTTTAGAAGCACTGTCCTATTTCACACTGCCTCCCCCATGCTTGGACACTCTGCTCCAGCTTCTCGCTGTTTCCCCAGACACATCAAGCACCTCCTTGTCTTTCCTTGTGCATCTCTTATCCTGAGATGCATTTCCTTCCTTGCTCAGCACATCACTCATTTTCCATCAGCTAATCCAGATGTCCTTCTCCCAGGAAAACTTCCCCAGGTTCTCTATGCTCCCAGAGCAAGCTGAACTTTGCTACAGGCTATCTCATTTGACGTAATTGTCTCCTCAAATAGTATATAAGCTCCTTAAAGGTAGAAACCAGGCCTTACTCATCTTTGTATTTCCAGCAGTGCCTTGTACCTAGTACTCAAAAACGTTTTAGCATAATTTTAAGGAAACCTATCTTTTTTATTGGAAAATAAAAGATAGATAACATATTATTGTAATCTTGTTTTTCTCTACCTTTTTTAAAGCTCATGTCTCCTTTTGATAAACCTTAAAATTTTACATCTTTCTTTAATGTTATTTGAATTAAAGATTATGAACAAAAACAAATTTTCTTTTCCTTTCTTTTCTCTTCTTTTCTTTATCCTTTCCTCTCTTTTCCTCTTCTTCCTTTTTTTTTTTTTTTTTTTTTTTTTTGAGACAGAGTCTCACTCTGTCCCCCTGGCTGGAGTGCAGTGGCGCAATCTCGGCTCACTGCAACCTCCAAGCAAAGACAAATTTTCTAATGGTCATTCTGAATACGTACTTTTAAACTACACAGATACTCATACACCCTACCCCAGGTGAAAATGACTGATCTATACAGTTAATTCCAGATTTATACCGTTGCCAGTTTTTGAACAGCCTCCTCTGAAGCGCCAAGAGAAGCCAAGCCAATTTCTTGGGAGAATTGGGCAAAACTAGGTTCAGCCAAAAGCGGGACATGACCTAAGAGTTCATGGCAGGTATCTCTGAAATAGAGGTACAAGTTTGTCATGCTGCAGTGCTTAACATAAGTGCATAATCAACCATTCAATCAAATCGCAACCCAATATTTTATTCTAATGATTGGGTGATATTACTTTGGTAATGGATCACAAAGGACACTAATCAAATAAAGAAACAATTTTGGTTCAAAACCTTGGCCACTCACAGACACACATATAAGTGCATATCAGGTATCTACGGACATCCACATGCCACCCCCACCTCCCAACCCTGCCACATACACACCCAAATCAGATCTCTGCTCAAATATCACCTTCTCAGCAAGGCCTTCCCTGATCACCGTTTTCAAAACAGCCACACATACACACACACACTCCCACCCACCTACACCCTCCTCCATCCCCCTTTCTCAGCTTTATTTTTCTCCACGGGACTCATCACCACCCGATGCAACATTTGCATACATTTACTTGTTTGTTTATTATCTATATCCCCACTGGAATACAAGCTCTATGCAGGCAGAAATTTTTGTCTGATTTTTTTCAGTGTTACATTCCCTATGCTCAGAATAGCAGCTAGCACCTAATAGGTTGTCAATTAATAATCATAATGGCTATCACGTAATAGAGCATGGAATATGTATTTCATGCCAGGCGCCGTTCTAAATGCTTCACATGTGCTAATTTATTTAATCCTCACACACCAAAGAAAAAAAAACCCATAAGGCAGATGCCATTATTATAAATAACCTTTTGATGAATTCATGGCTGAAATAGAAGTACTTACGGCTCTGGGGTATAGAAGGGATCTGAACTGTGTCTAACATATTGAGTGCAGTGAAAAACTCGAAAGGCTAAACCTGATAAGAAATCTCTTGGTGATAAGTAACCAGCCACAGGACGGATGGAAAAACCTGTACGCTCTGCAAAGCAAAGGAGAAAACAAAGAAAATCTTTACCAGAATAGACCCCTGACTGCAGCATTTTAGTTCTGCTAGTGGCACCAAGTAACACTTTGATGGAGGACATGGAAACTAAAATTTATCATATGCATATTAAGGGCAACTAATTATTATTAAGCACTTGCTACAGCCAGGCCAGGCAATGAGTTAGACCTTTTACATATCACATCTCCTTTCATGTTTACAACATGAGTTAAGGATGTTTCTTCTTATTGTGACAACTATGAAATGCAGGCTCAGAGACTCAATAATGTGCCCAAGTCCACACATTAGTTGATAAAGATAGAATGACAACTCAGATCTCCTCATGCCATACAACACCTTGCTGTCTCCCTAAAGGGTTTATACTATCTCCTAGATAATCTTCTTTTTGTTAAAACTCATTAACAAGATATATTCATTTAAATCAGAGCCATTTTTGAAGCTGCGCCATTTTTAGCCAGTACCATCTCTTGTAAAGTAGTACCTTTCTTTTATCTAAACGGGATAGTGCTCTTCCATCTCCCAACAGCCAAGACTGCATGCATACTGCAAAAGAGGCCTGCCACTAGGATTCAGTGGCTCGGGAGACCCCTGTAAGCCCTAATCTTGGCCTTCATTTCAAACCCTCACAACTCTGGTATTCCAGTTCCATCCAGCTGTGTTGTGTTTGGATGCTCCCATTCTGATGGGCAGACTGCACTGTCCAGTAAAAATTTCCATAGTGGTAGAAATGCTCCATATCTGTGTTGTCCAGTAAGGCAACTACTAGCCGCATGTAGCCACTGAGCATTTGAAATGTGGTTAGTGTGACTGAGGAACCAACCTCTTGATTTACATTTATTTTAGTTATTTAAATTTCAAAAAGCCAAATGTGTTTAGTGTCTACCATATTTGATAGCGCAGGTATTCCCTTCCAACTTTTGCTTGAACTTTCTGTTAGTTTTGATTTCTCTTTGATATTTGACCTTGAAGCATTTTCAGCAACACATTCTGCAACCAGCCCAGGCTCCAGACCCTAAGAGAACAGCTTTCAGTTTTGTGTGCATAACAAAACACTTCCTCCAAATCTCATGCAAATTTGATGTTACAATTTCTGTAGTGTATATTTGTCCATCTTTATAAGTCTATCAATGTTATGTGCATTGGTTCTCTATCATCCTTAATCACTATTTTTCAAAAGTTTAGTTTTTATGGAAACCAATTACATAATTTCTTCCCTTGTAGAAACTGTATTGCTCTTTCCTGTTTATTTCTTCTAGTTTTGTGTATAGTTGTTGAATACTGTTAAGGAGTTAAATAGATATGTAGATTTTTTAAGTCTATGTAAGAAACTCAAAGACAGCAATTTCAGACCATTATGGAAATAAACTAAATTCTTTTCAGTCACAGCATAACTTCTTTGTTTTCTCCACTATGGTAATCTGCTGAGATTATCTACTGAGATAAAAGGGAAAATTTATACTTCTTTATACTGTAAACCCTTGGAGATAGATCACTGCTCCTTTTACTTCCTATACTAGCTAGAAAAACAGTAAAGAGGCCTGGACCAAACAAATATAAAGAACTAAAAGGAACAAAATTGTCCTCACCCTTTGTTTATGTCTCTACTAGCACCATCTTTTTTCTTGCTAAAATTATAAAATCTTAATGTGGAAAAAGGTCTTTAACCTTCCCCAAGATGTTTGAATCTCCTCTACCAAATCCCTGGCAAATGGGTGTGAAGCTTTTGCACGAACACCCCCACGGATGAGGAACTAACCATCTCATAAGCCTGTTCTATTTTCAAATCACTCTTTAACAAGATATTCTCTATTCTGGGCCAAAAGCTTGAAGTTTCTATCCAACAGTCCTTTACTTTAGAGTTGCACAGTGATCCCTCTGTTATAAAGATCCTTCCAACTATTTAAATAAAGCTATAACAGCCCCTAAATCTCTAGGTTAAACACCCTAAGAATTCTTCAAATTTTACTTTGTGATACAATTTCAAATCTCCTTATAATTCTGCTCACCTTCCTCTACCTTTGCTGCAGGTTATGATTATCCTTCAATGCGGTGCCCAATCCTGGATCCAATACACCAGGACAGAGTACGGGAAAATTCTGACCTCCCATATCACTACGCTTTATTCCTTTATTAAAAATGCTGTCATTGTCGGGCGCGGTGGCTCACGCCTGTTATTCCAGCACTTTGGGAGGCTGAGGTAGGTGGATCACTTGAGGTCAGAAGTTCAAGACCAGCTTGGCCAACATGGCGAAACCCCATCCCTACTGAAAATACAAAAATTAGCCGGGTGTGATGGCAGGTGCCTGTAGTCCCAGCACTTTGGGAGGCCATGGCAGAAGAATCGCTTGAACCCAGGAGGCAGAGGCTGCAGTGAGCCAAGATGGCATCACTGTACTCCAGCCTGGGCAACAGAAAGAGAGACTCTGTCTCCAAAAAAAAAAAAAAATGCTGTCATGATCAAAACAGAGTTCAGCAACCCCCTTACAAAAAATTAATTAGCTTATTACCTTTTAAAAAGTTTGAAACATCTTCCAATTGTGGGATATTATCCTCCCGATATCCACAATGTTTAGAAAGCAAAGGCAAGTTTTTGAGATACTCTCTGCAAGCATGGGTTGGGTAGAGTTTGTTGAGCTCTTGGAATACGGTTCCCCAGGTCTTAATCTCCTCTTCAGTGAACTCAACCTTCGGAATGGGGTCTCCACTAATGAGATAAAGGGAAGGAGTTGTTTTGAATTAGCATTTAATAAATAATGGCACTTATTTCACTTTCTACTTACCAAATGAACACAATTTATTCTATTCACTTATTTTATTATCTCAAAGTTGGCTACATTTTTAAAAATATACTTACTGTTTATAGTTCATAGCCAAGTCCGCAAAATACTTTCGACGTTTACGGTAGACATTGTCTTTGAAGCCCTGATAATTAAAGATATATTTTTAAATATCCACACTAAAAAAACTTGACAAATGATATTCGGGAAACATTTCATTATTACTAGAGCTATTACATTAAAGGGCTACATAATTGCTACTATGAGCAAGCATTATTTAGAGATTTATGATCATTTTTATTTTAAAGTCAATGTTACATGACAGCTTTATACTCCAGTAGCTACAAAGATAAAAGATATAATGGGTACAAAGATAGTGTAGTGGCCACAAAGATAAAACAGTTTAAAGAATAAGGAAACCACTATCCCAGTTAAATATATGGCTCTTTTCCAAGGGTGAGGGTTTTTTTCCTTAATCATTTGACTATATCTTCAGTTATATTTACCCATAATAGTAATTAATAATAAAAAGTAATTAATATTTGAAATAGTGACTTAACTGAATCTAGTCTTAGATTTTATCACAAAATGCGAATATATTTGCCATTTGCAGAAATAATGATGATTTAAATAGCAGACAAAATAGTAACATTAGAATTTATACTCATGAAGAAAATTTTTTTTAGACAAAATGGCTGAGTGTGGTGGCTCACACCTGTAATCTCAACACTTTGGGAGACCTACGAGGGAGAATCACTTGAACCCAGGAGTTTGAGACCAGCCCGGCAACAAAGCAAGACTCTGTCTGTACAAAAAAAAATTAAATAACAATTGTAACTAGCCAGGTGTGGTGGTGCATCCCTGTTGTCCCAGCTCCTTGGGAAGCTGAGGCAGGAGGATGGCTTCAGCCCAGGAATTCTAGGCTGCAGCGAGAGATGGTGGTGCCACTGCACCCTAGCCTGGGCAATAGAGGGAGGCTCTATCTTAAAAAAAAAAAAAAAAAAAAAGACAAAATAAGAAATCAAAAATCAAAGCCCAGGAGAAAATAGCCAAAAATGCAAACAATGGGAAAGAAGGGGACACCTGAAAAGAGAGAATGAGACTCATCTCTTTAACACAGATCTATGAGAGAGCACAGATTTACTATGATTTGTGCTAAAATCTGGAAAAACAAATATGAACAAAGCAGCCTGGGGCTTAAAGGAGTTTACATGAACCTGTTATTGTAAAATGATACAGTAAGTGTCTCATCATATTGCACAGATATGTACAGAATGGCACGCACACTTAAAACGATTGTGTGGTTCAGGGAAGGATTCCCAGTGATTACTCTCGACTCGAGCTAAGACACAAAAGAGGAGTGGAAACAGCGCAGTGATTAAAACAAACAAACAAACAAACAAACCCAGCATGTTGTGCCTAAGAAAATACAAGCAACCCCATGTTGCTCAAACTTGGAGAGTAAGGCAGAGCATGTTGAAACTAGTTGGGGTCTGCAAATTAAAGGTCCATTAAGGAGCTTGGAGTTTAGCCTTGGGTAATGGGAACCCACTGGTGTTTTTTTAATAACAACTTTATTGAGGTATAATTCACATACCATAAAATAACCATTCAGTGGTTTTTAGATATCCACAGAGTTAAACAACCATCTCCACCATCTAATTTCAGAAAGATTTTGTCCGCCCCCAAAAAAACCATGCTCATTAGCAATCACTCTCCAACTCCACCCCAACCCTCCCCAGCTCCTGGCAACCGGTAATCCACTGTCTGTTTCTATGTATTTTTCTGTTCTGGACATTTCATATAAATGGAATCATACAATATGGGACCTTTTGTGACTAACTTCTTTCATTTACCATAATGTTTTCAAGGTTCATCTATGTTGCAGCACATACCAGTGTTCCATCTCTTTTAACGCCCAATGATATTTGCTTATATAAATATACCATACTTCATCTATTTATCAGTTAATGGACATTTGGGTTGTTTCCACTTTTTTGCTATTATGAATAATGCTGCTACAATCATTTGTGTATATGTTTTTGTATGGACATGTATTTTCAATTCTTTTAAGTATGTACCTAGGAGCCATTGGTGATTTTTAAGAGAGAAGATGAATAATAGTCATATTGAGGTTTTAGATCATTCTAATGAGGATAAGAAGGAGGTGTTTGAAGATGACAAGGCTAGAGGAAGGAAGACCAGTTAAGGGATGTGGTAGTAGGGATGAATAAAGAACACATTTAAGAAATACCTAGGAGGTGAAAATCAGCAGGACTTGGTAGATCAGTAAAACTGATGTACTCACCTTTCCATAAACATGCCCCAGATTTTCTTGCCTCTGAACCTTTGCGCATACTGTTCCCTCCTGAATTGTTCTTCCTTTCCGTCTCTTATCTGCTGAAATCTTTTAAGGCCCAGTTGAAATGTTGCCTTTCTCTGATCTCTTCAGCTAGAAGTGTTTGCTCTCTTATGTACATTTTGAGGCAACATTTTCATGAAGCAAAATTTTCACCTAGCATGCTTTTTATATTTTATCTTGTGTGTGTTTGTTTATATATGTGTGCTTTAGCTTTTCAACTAGACTACATGCTCCCTTCTGGCAAGTACTGCAATTAATTGCAATAGTTACTCAATAAGATTATAGAATAATTGGATACATCATCTGGTGGCTGTCTAAGGTAGTATACAAAGGTCACATTCACACAGCTAACATGTGAGAGAAGCTACATTAAAGCCCTGGTCTGTTCAACTTCACAATCGCACTCTCTTCTCTCCTCCCCTCCCAGAAATGCTCTAGATTTACTAATTCTCCAACTCTTGCCTGTACTGTACAATTTTCTCAGGAAACAACTTCCTAGTTCATCAACTGCCTAATAAACCAATCATGCTGGGCAGTGTGGGTGGCAAGTCTTTCTCTGGCCTGCTTTTACTTATCTCCCTGTCCAATAACCCATGCCCATTTAAATAAAAACTGCAGATGCTATCTTCATTTTAGTATAACCTTTTGAATAGCTCTCAATAATAGGAATGCTGGGCATGGGACAGATATTTTGGAACAAATGAAGCTCTATGTTTTTCAGGCAGTTAGTCTCAATTCCACCAATATAGAGGTCTACTAACACTTGTTGAAATCTTGATTAAAACAATATCTCATTTAGTCTAGAAAAAACACTTTCTCTAAAAACATTGCCCTTAATTTTTAGTTTGCTTCAAATTGTTTTTATAAATGTATTTATTAAAAATACTTACAGGGTGCTAGCTTATGCCTGTTATCCCAGCACTTTGGGAGACCGAGGCGGGTGGAACACCTGAGGTCGGGAGCTTGAGACCAGCCTGGCCAACATGGTGAAACCCCGTCTCTACTAAAAATACAAAAATTAGCTGGGTGTGGTGGTGGGCACCTGTAATCCCAGTACTTGGGAGGCTGAGGCAGGAGAATCACTCGAACCCAAGAGGCAGAGGTTGCAGTAAGCCTAGATCGTGCCACTGCACTCCAGCCTGGGCAACAGAGCAAGACTTGGTCTTAAAACAAAAAAAGCCTAGATCGTGCCACTGCACTCCAGCCTGGGCAACAGAGCAAGACTTGGTCTTAAAAAAGAAAGAAAATACTTACAGGATGGTCTGCATCTAGTTCAGATCCATACATCAGAACTCTGTTGGCACAACAGTCCAGGTCAGAAATCTTCTTTGGAAACCAAGGAACAGTTTCCATACCTGAAAATTAAAAAAAAAAAAAAAAAAAAAAGAAGCACTAAAAGTTGAAGAGACAATCTTAAGACAATAAAGAAGAGAAAATTAAATTCAGTTGGATGAGAGTTTTAATTTAAGGTTGTACATCAAGGCAAGATTTGTATGAGTTAAGTAAATTGCCCTATTTCTAAAAAGTAAAATTTATTCAAAATTTCTGAACTTTAATTTCTTTTTGAGTCTTCAGGTTGATGTTCTAAGTTTTGGAGAAATACTGTACTTTAGAAACAGACTAAAAGTTTTAAAAATGCTTAAGCTACATATTTAGTTATTCTACAAAAGCAGAAAAAGGATGCACAACTTTATTTACAGACCAAGGTACAAACTTAATAAAAACTTCATTTATTTTTGCCAGTGGAAAAGATCTTAGAAATCATTTGTCTTTGCCACCTTGATCTTCTCACCATTCCTCAGACACACAAGCCCTCATAAGACCATGGGGTTTTATAAATGCTACTCTTCTGTCTGGAGTAGCTATTCCACTCCCATTGCCTGCCCCACCCTGCCCTTCTGTTTTCCTGAGAATATCCTTCACATCCTTCAAGACCCAAATCTAATGAGATCTTCTCATTCCGCAAAGCCTTCCCTGACCCTGTAGACAGAGCTAATTATCTGTTCCCTGGGTTCCTGTGACTTTATGTCTCTCTCTAAAGGCTTTTACTACGTTTTATTATAATGTACCTGTTTATATGTCTGTCTTACATGAAAGACTGGAAACAACTGTAGGGTGGAGACTGTATCTTTTGTATGCCTATTTCTTAGCAGAAATATCTGTCACAAGGCTGATGTATCAACTGAACTATTTAGTCATCTATACACCTCTGCATTTTACAGATGAGGTAATCAAATTCCAGAGAGGTAATTTACCCTAGGTAATGCACTCCTCTTGGAAGACAGAGGACTAGAACTCAGCTCTTCTTGCCCCAGTGTACTGCTCTTTCTAACATATCCAGGAGTGATATTCAAGGGATTTAACAACAAATACAACAGGAGCAGTAATCGCTCAAAATAGACATCAGCAGAGTCCTAGGCTTCTGCTCTGCAAGGTGTTAACCCTTTAGTTGTTAATGATGGGTGTGGGACTTCCTGGTGGGGGGCCGGTATCTGGAGCAACAGAGGCTTCAGGCATGGTGAAGAGCCCTCAAGGGACTTGGGGAAGTAGCTCTCTGCCAGCCAGAAGTGGAGATATATCAGTATTTTAATAATTATATAGCTGTACGAACGCATAGCAGATGAATAGCAGTCCTGATTACACCTTAAATATTGTGGACAGAATCTGAAGAGATTATTTTAGATTGAGTACCATATATAAAATGTACCTAAATTATCCATTTGTCTTTTGCCTCGAGTGAACTTCAAGGATTTTTTCACCAGTAGAGATCTTAACCTTTATCTTTGCTACCTGAGTATCTGAAACTTTAGAAGGCTTTATTGCTTTCTCATTTGCTTTTGGAAGGAATGCTGTACATCAGTTGTTCCTGACCTTTTTGGCACCAGGAAGTGGTTTTGTGGAAGACAATTTTTCCAAGAATGGGGAGGCGGGAGATGGTTTCATCAGGCATTGGAGTCTCATAAGAAACACACAACCTAGATCCCTCGCACACGCAGTTCACAATAGGGTTCACGCTCCTAGACAGAGCTCAGGCGGTAAGGCTCGCTGGACCTGCTGCCCACTGCAGCTGTGCAGCCTGGTTCCTAACAGGCCGTGGACGAGTCCCCTGCTATACGTATTGTGTGTCACTTCATAGTTGTCAGCAACTGTCAACATTTGCAACAAATTTAAATATTCATTTACTATCCGCTAGATGCCAAGTCTTATGAGACTTACTAAGTGCTCAGGGATTGTGAATTAGAGGTTTTTCAGATCAAGAAATGTTGATGCTTTGGAATGAGAGATAATCAATCCCTGATTATGCCAAATTGTGTTGTCTTTCTTCTTTCTTTCTTTCTTTCTGCCTGCCTTCCTGCCTTCTTTCCTTCTTTCCTTTCTTTTTTTTTTTTTTTTGACAGGGTCTTGCTCTGTCACCCAAACTGGAGTGCAGTGGCATGATCTCAGCTCGGCTCTACAGCCTCAACCTCCTGGGCTCAGGTGATCCTCCCACCTCAGCCTCCAGAGTAGCTGGAACCATGGGTGCATGCCATGACACCTGGCTAATTTTTGTATTTTTTGCAGAGACTGGGTCTCTCTATGTTGCCCAGGCTGGTCTTGAACTCCTGGACTCAAGTGAGTCTGCCTTGGCTTCCCAAAGTGCAGGGATTACAGGCATAAGCCAGCACACCCAGCTGTTTCTTATACTCAAGATTTTCTTTTTCATTTCTCTTACACTAGATCAAATGTTGCTTTATAATTTTTCTTTGGTATCTTGAGCAACTATATTTTGTGTTCCCTTCACTACCAGACTATAAGCAACTTGGAGAGATTGTGTTTTATTATTTTCATGTTTTCAAGATAAATATAAGATTGAACACACATTAGGTATTTCATCTTCTAAGTATTTTCACATTCGAACTTACCATCTTCCTTCACAGTAAAATTATCTGGTGGATTCACAGAGAGAACATTGTCATGAGACTTTAGCAGTTGAAAAATATCATTCAATTGTTCTCTGTTGATGTCACAGTCAACAAAAATCTCAAATTCTGAGTTTCTTCTTTTTGATTTTCGGGACTCGATATGTAACAGATTCACATGCTTCTCCTGTGTAAAGCACAGGGTAAAGATCTCATGTAACTGCCTCAAATGTTAATAGTCTTTGAGCAGGCTACTTTCATTACCACTAAAAATCAGATTCAGACTTCTCAGAACAGCCAAAGGGGAAAAGGCTGTTTTTAGTGCTGCCAACAACAAAATAATTCCTTCTTAAAAATTATGTACCGGTCAGAAAAGTTTTCAAAATTCATCCCACCCTCCAGAAACCAATAAAATAACACACACTACAGGCCCTTCAGATTGTCAGAATTAATCAGAATTCAAATTAAAATATTATTAAGTTTTCTGGCTAAGACGAATCTTTTGAAAATTCTCATAAATAAAAGCTAGTTTTCAAAAAGTGATACCAATGTTAGTCCTGGAGAAAGAAGAGTTTCCCTTTCAAAAATTCATTTAATAAAATTAGATGAACAGCTTGAGCACAGAGTATTCAATACCTCAAATCTCTTAAGCTACAGTCTTAGTAACAGCTGAACCAGATCTCCTCTTCTGACCTCTTCCAAGTCAGCCTAAGATGGGGGTGCTGTGTGTAGAAGTGTGGGAGGAGGGTATGTTCTCTTTCCAATTTGGGTAGCTTAGAAAGAGTGCTGGGGACATGATAATGAAACATGAGAACCAATCACCCAATAGTTTTTTCATCTAAAAAAATGAGAAAGTTAGAGCAAATAATCTCCAATACTAACCAGTGCATCCTAAAATAACTTAATGAACACCCATGCAACTAGGTGAGAGCTGCGAAGAATATAAAGGAAAGACATAAAGGTATTTACATTCTAGTTGGCTAGCACATGGAAGATTAAGAAAATAAAGTAAAGAGTGTTCAGATGCAGATGCTCAGCAAAGGGAAAAGCATTACGACTTAAAAGAGAGTAGAAAGTTTCATGGAGCAGGTGGAAACTTAAAGGAATCTTAAAGAATAGATAGAATAGGTCAGGCATGGTGGCTCACACCTGTAATTCCAACACTTTGGGAGGCCAAGGTGGAAAAATCACTTAAGCCCAGGAGTTCAAGAGCAGCCTGGACCATGTAGCAAGACCCCATCTCTACAAAAAAATAATAAATTAGCCAGGTGTAGTGGCGCACACCAGAAGTCCCAGCTACTTGGGATACTGAGGTGAGAGGGTCACTTAAGCCCAGGAGGTTAACGCTACAGTGAGCCGTGATTGTGCCACTGCACTCTAGCCTGGGTGACAGAGTGAGACCCTTTCTAAAAAAAAAAAAAAAAAAATTCAGGGAACGTGAGCTAACAAGAAAGAGGAGTGAGTGATAGAGGATGTTAGGAAATTAGAATAGGCAGGGTTTATCTGGGAACATAGAATTTATCACAGAATCAATACAAGTCAGTTATAAAATATACTGGGATTGATCAGGTGTAGAGAAGAGTTTCATTTCATCTATTTCTTATAAATTTTTACATTAATAATGCATTTGTAAATATTTTCTAAATGATGACTTGAATAAATATAAAGCCAAACTATGTTTTTGGAGGAAAAAAAAAAAGATACAAAAATGTCAATTATTCCTAAATTTAAATCTCAATGGAATTTGGTGAGGAAATGTAATTAAATAATTTCAAAGTTCATCTGGAAGAAAAACACAGTCTGGAAAATTCAGATAAAGTAGAAGTAGTACGTGAAACATTCCCTATCCGTCATTTCAATTACAGAAACAGAGGCATAGAGAGGTTAAACAGTTCTGCCAGAAGCACACAGGAGACAAGTGTCAGAGCCAGAATTCAAATCTAGGCTGTGCAGGTCCACAGTCCATGCGCTTAAACACTATGCTGTAATCCTGTTGCACAAGAAAGGAAGAGTCACAAAAGTGGATACTAGGGCTCTTCTTCAAACAATATTTACATAATCTTAATAATAAAGACATTAAAGACTGACAGAGCCAAAAACCGGGACACAAATGCATTGGGAAGACGAGTGGAAAGGAAGTTGAAGAGGCCATCGGAAGGGGAGTTGTGTCAAGAAACCTAAATTTTTGCTTCATTGTTGAAAATCAATAGATAATTACCTATAATTTTAGAAATCAAGAAGTAGAAGCAGAACAAGCATATAATTTATAAGTGTGGAAGTAAATATTAGAAAAATAGTCTAAAGAGTTGAAAATGGTTGCCTCCACAAGGTGGGGGATAAGTAAAATGGATGGAGACACACCCGGAGAACACCATGTAGCAGTTAGAAGAATGAATGAGATGTTCACACAACAGCGTGCACAGGTTTTAAGAACACAGTGCTTGATGGGAAAAAGAATCTTTATAGCACAATATGATTATATAAATTACAAATATATGCACACACAAAAACTACATATTCTGAAGTGCAGATAAAAGTTATTCAATGTACATATCAAACATATGAAAGCAGTTCTCTATCAGAAGAGAGAAATGGAGATAGAAATGAAGAATGAAATAAAACAGGAAGAGGTTGCACAAATCAACAATGATAGTGCACACATGATTTAATGAGTGTGATTAACTCAAGCTTCTGCACATAAGGTTGCAAAAAAATTAAATGGAACTTAGGAATGAAGAGAGACGGAGCAAAAGACTGCTTTTAAAAAAATATGTTTTATGGTATGGGTTGAGTTGTTCTTAAGCTATGTACAATTATTTTTTGATTAAAAATTAAATTTAAAAAGTTGATGGAAGAAGACACACAGGTATTTTATTTAAAGACTCAAAGGCAATCAATAGAATAGCTAAAAGTAATAATACAATTATCAGATTTGGAAGGACTGGGAGAGGGAAGGGAGGGAGGTGGTATCAGTATCATTGTTCATAATAGAAAGTAAATGAATATAGTGTGAAGTTGATAACTCGAAAAGACATATAATAGCAATGTTTAGATTTCATAAACTCACCACCAAAAAAACTAAAGGCCGGAAATAGTTAAAAGAGGTTGCCTCTAGGGAGTGGGACTGAGACTATGGTATGTGTTAGGTAAGAAAACTGATGCTTTTCATTACAAGCTCTTCTAGACTATCTATATTTCAGATTTTTAATTCTTTGTAATATTCTTTGCAAACAGCTATATAATAGTATGTCGTATGATTATTAACATAGCTAACATCTATTGATCACTTACTTTGTACTGTACCATCCTAAGCACTTTAGAGATATTAACTGTACTAATGCTCACAATGACCCTATGATGTAGGTAGAGTTCTCATTTTATGGACATAAATCCTGAAGTGTGGAGAGATTAATCAGTTTGCCCACGATCACCCAGGTAATAAGTGACAGAGCAAGGATTTGAATTCAGGTGGTCTGTCCCTGGAGACCAGAGCTTAACCACAGTGGTGTTCCGCTAGCACAATTCAACATCCCCTATATTAGGACAAGTGGATTATTTATAATTTTTAGTTCCTGTAAACAATACATCTTTGTGTGTCCCTGAGCCCTTAAACTCAGTTAGGTCCCCCAAGTTCAACGCTGTCACAATATCTGGTACTTCTGTTTCATGTCACTTTACACATAGTAATTATTCACTTACAGCAGTTGTTTGTTTAGTGTTGCCTTCCCCACTAGATTATATACTCTGTGAGAACAGGCACTGTGTTTACTTCGTCCAGCTCCATATCCTTAGTGTCTGATGTGGTACCCGACACATAGTAAGGACTCAATAAATATTCATGTTCTGCTTGACTGATCCATATTTTTAAGACAGATTTACGAAATTAGAATTATGGGTCAAAAGTATGAACATTTTAAGGCTCATAATACGTATTACCAGATAGTTTCCCTACATGGTACACAAATTTACCCTCGTGCCAAAGGTGCATTGGAGGGTAATGCACCTCCAATGCAATGAAGCTCTGACAGTAGGGGACAGTGTCATTATAGAATCTTTGCTACATGAAAATAATATCATTAAATATACTATGACTATATCATTAAATCTCAAGTATATAATTAAAAATGTCTGATTAAATATCAGTAAAATTGTAATACTTTATTAAAATTAAAATTTGCTTCTCTAAAATCTATGAAGTGAATTCTTTCTCCCCCATTTCCCAAAGTAGCTATTTGTATCTCCTCTTCTGTAAATTGTTTGTATCCCTTGTTAGAATTCAGCACTATTTTAGAAATGTAAGTTCTTAACAAATGTTTGTACTCCACCTCTGAAGAATTTGCAACAATTTATATATATTTATATGTATATTATATATAAACATAGAATTTATATATATAACATACATAAATATACATAGAGAGAGAGAAAAAAAAATCTCACTCTGATACCCAGGCTAGAGTGTAGTGGTGTGATCATAGCTCACTCAATGTAACCTTGGACTCCTGGACTCAAGCAATTCTCCCACCCCAGCCTCCCAGGTAGCTGGAGCTACCAGTGTCCACCACCTCATCCAGCTAAATTTGTTTTTGTTTTTTTTTTTTAAGAGATGGGGTCCTGCTATGTTGCTGTGTATTTTAAATATAGTTTTAGAGATTCATTTCTAGAAGAATTTTGTGCAAAAATATGGAAAACGCTTACCTGAAATATTTTCAGGGCTTTTATAAGTCCTCCAACTTCATTCTTTAAGGAAAAAATGAGACTTGCTCTTCCCCTTTCTAAGGAATGGTCTTTGTTCTCCTTATTGTCTTCAATCATGATGAATTTGGAGTAATTCTCTAAAACTAAAGTATGAAAACAAAGACAAAGGGCTAAAAAAGAAGGTGCACGATGCAGACAATATTTGATAACTAAGGGCTAATTTACTTCTAGAAGCTTCAGTTTCTTAATCTTTTATACAACCTAGATATGCAGATAAGCTTTGCAAGAATCTAGTGAGACCAAAATAAGATGAAACTTCTCCTGACACCTGCCTAGAACAGAACAGGCACACAATACATGTTAGTAGTTCCCTTTCATGTTTTTCTAAACCAATCCCTCTTTTAGGGCATGACTCAAGCCTGCTGGCTTCTTGTAGTCTTCCCAACTATTGTAGCCTGAACTAGTCAGGAAGGCCTACCTCCTCCCCTCCCTGTCCACAGTCTTAGCACTTCATTATACCAGGTCTCAAATGGTTTCCCCAAATGTTTTATTTGAACATATCTCACCTTCTGACAAGGCAGCAAGCTCCTCCAGAGTGGGGACAAGGCTTTCTATTTATTTTGTAAACTAAAGGCCTGGCCAGCTCTAGACATATGTGCACTAGATGGATAACTGCTAGCCAGGAGAATTCTAGATCTGCTTCTCAGAAGATGAACCAGATATCTACTTTGGTATCTTCTCAACCACTTATTTACACTGCAAAACAGTGTAAGGAAATATGTGGAATGTGAAGTCAGATATATCTAATTATTGGCCTCATGTTTATCAGTGTATGACCTCGGGTATGCTACTTAACCTTTCTAATATAAAACTAAGTTACCAAACAGCTACCGGAACTCATAACATACAAAATTCCCACTTGTTTTAAAACACCATAACGTGGCGTGCTATTCTGAGATTTTCCTCACGGAAGAAACTAGGATACTTCAGGTACCAAGAAGAGTTAGAGACACATAATTCAAAATTTAACCAACATTTATGAATTCACTGGGTTCAAGTTTCCAAAACTACCAAGATTTTTAAATTATGCCAAATCAGTCTCTAGAATTAAAACAATTTCTACTTCGAACGCTATAAAACTAAATGGTCAGTTAAACTGAATAATTATGTGGATTTTTCTGTGATTCAAACAATTACTAATGGTAAAATGAATAAAATTTCAACCTAAGCACATTCACATGTGTAAAGCACCACAGTCAAAGTTAGGGCAGTAAAAATTTTAAAACAAGACAATTTGCCTCCAAAGAATTCACACACTTGTTTATGGGGAAGGAGAAAATGGAAGACAGACTTCTCAATAAGTACAAAGAAGTAGAAGAGAAGGGACACTGAGATCCCAGCCATGATACCCAAGGAGTACACTCAACCACCCCTCACCTTCCCACCTCCCCACCTCCCCACCCCTTTGATCAATATTCCATGTGCTTCTAAAGATGACTGAATACAGCTTCTAGCCCATCCATGAGTCTCTGCTGAGAAAGGATTTATGGATGAGAAGCAAAAGATCTTATGAGATTTTCCACTTCGAAGGAAGTGACCATTTATCAAGGTAAATTTAAGTATAAACAGAAAATACCAAATTGGTGACTCTGGGGCTAAAAATTGAGGGATGGTCTCAGGTAAGCATTCTCAAAATGCTTTTAGGGATATGAAAACCTTCAGAAATGTTTGTTACCCATTCAATTACCACTCAAAGATTGACTTTTCTTATTAAACACAGAGTATGGGTGACGTTGTCCTATAGTGTGCAAATGTAAACAATAAGAGAGATGCAAAATAATATAACAAATTGCTAGTAGTAAATCATTCTGCAAATCCATCTAGGCAAGTTATAATCTTTATGGGTATCAATCTCTTTATTTGCAAACTTAGAGGGAGGATAATCAACACCACTCTCATGATTATAAGGAGGATTAAATATATATAAACTTATTGCTATGAGAATTAAATAGTTATAATTTATATAAACCTCTTGGAACAGTTGCTAACCTACACTAAGTACTCAATAAGTATTATTTCAAATAATGGGGAATATGTCCCAAATTTTCCAGTCTTCAAAAAAAGAGAAAATGTTAAAGTAATGAAATAGCCATTCTAAACACCTCTGGCTAAAAATTTTTCTCGCCCTAGGAATTAGGCATTTTACAAGATGATTAACATATTTCTTATAATAGCAAGCATGTGGAAAAGTTGCTTTATGATATAAAATGTCAGTATTGTTTTGTATCAAGGTGATTTCAGTTTCATTAATTTATTATAAAATCCCTGAAGTGTATTAAATTCCAAATCTTAAGCAAATAATTCAGCAGTTTTTTTGCAAACAAATAAAGACCCCAAAGTAAAATGTACTGAGTTAGCCTGTATTTACTGAGTCCTCGTGTTTCCTGATACCGTCACCATGACATGCAGAAGGAAGAGGATTCTGCAAATATAAGCTACTTCCTGGCCAACCACTAGCTTCATCATGTACATCAGCTTTAAGAACCGGGGGCAAGGGATCAGAGAACAGTAAAGAAAAGTTGCCACTGATTTTTTCCAGTCAGTGGTAACACCAGCAGAATTCTAGATCTTCGATACTTTGTCTTTCAACAATCTCTTGGAGCTTGGAATAAAACTCTTCTTATAAAACTATATGAGGCCAGCCACAGTAGCTCATGCCTATAATCCCAGCACATTGGAAAGCCAAAGCGGGTGGATCACTTGAGGTCAGGAGTTGAAGACCAGCCTGGCCAACACGGTGAAAACCTGTCTCTACTAAAAATACAAAAAGTAGCCTGGCATGATGACACATGCCTGTAATCCCAGCTACTTGGGAGACTGAGGCACGAAAATAGTTTGAACCCAGGAGGCAGGGGTTGCAGGGAGCCAAGATCGTGCCACTGCACTCTGGCTGGGCAACAGAGTGAGACTCTATGTCAAAACAAACAAACAAACAGAACAACAACAAAAAAAAACTACTATGAAGAGTCTGGGCAACATAGTGAAATGCTGTATGAACAACAATAACAAAAAACAATTGTTTAAGTTAGCCGGGCATAGTGGCTTTCACCTGCAGTCCCGGCTACTAGGGAGGGAGGCTGAGGCAGGAGGCTTACTTGAGCTCAGGAGTTCTAGGCTGCAGTGATCCATGATCGTGCCACTGCAGTCCAGCCTGGGTGACAGAGTAAAACCTCGTCTCTTAAAAAAAAAAAAAAGAATGAGGATTTCCTTCAATTTTCAAAACTGGCCCCTAAGCTCTCCTGGAAGTTGCTATTGTGAGAAGGTACTAACAGTCATGGCTCCATCCCTTTAGGGTTCATAATTATTTTCTTTACCTGATTCTTGAATGGATCAAGTTTTGTGCCAATATCTCCTTAGAGGGTGTGGGGAGAGGAGGGTGAAGGATACATTAATTGAAATTTATGATATGCAAGGCATTTATATTATTTTGATTTATTTAAAGACATACATTATTATATTAAGATGTGAGTGGCTCACACCTGTAATCCCAGCACTTTAGGAGGCTGAGGTGGGCAAATCACGAGGTCAAGAGATTGAGACCATCCTGGCCAATGTGGTGAAACCTGGTCTCTACTAACAATACAAAAATTAGCTTGGTGTGGTGGCACACACCTGTAGTTCCAGCTACTCGGGTGGCTGAGGCAGGAGAATTGCTTGAACCTGGGAGGTGGAGGTTGCAGTGAGCCGAGATCGTGCCACTGCACTACAGCCTGGGTGACAGAGCAAGACTGCATCTCAAAAGAAAAAAAAAGATGTGGAAACCCTCCTCCTTGTTTAAGTCATGGTAAAAATGAAGGTTCTGAAAAGGAACTTTTGCTAAGAAACTAGAAGAAAATTCTCACCTTCTTTTTTGTTCCTCCCAACCCCAAAATAATCTTATAGGATACAGATCTTTGATGGTTACTCAAACTTCGCCATAACTTTGCTTGGTTGACAGAGCTTATGAGGAATCAGTTATTTTTTCCTCCATTCAATTAACCCCAAACCCCTTTCAGAACCTCAATATTTTGCCTTGTTACTTTTTCCTTTCCCCCTTCAACCCACCTGCCCCCTCCTACTCTTTCAGGGAAAAAAACCCACAATACTAACCTGGTAAGATAAAATAGGTCACACTTGTTTGAATCGGCGTCTCATCAATACATAAGCATTTTGTTTTTAAAGCAACACTCTGATCAGCTAATACCAACTGGTACCCCTTTCTCATGAAAGGCAGAGTCTTTCCCCTACTGCGTCTCCTGGCCTGACTAAGGATGCACTGCTGTGCAGGACACACCACTGCAAATAAGGAAAAAACACCAAGAAGACACTCAAGATCAACAGACCCAACCCTTGGTAAAGTAGAGGTCAAGGCACACACAATGACCAACTCTTTTCTCCCCTTAGTTTAATCAGTAAAACAAGTGCAATTTATATTTACCTGATCTAGGATGCACAAAGCATTACTGAATTAGTCTTTTGAAAGCATGGATATTGTTTGAAGACAGAACTAAAAACTGCAAGGAGGATTCTTTCAGAGGGAGGGAATGCTCTAAAGAGTCTTGATTTTCTTTTCTAAATAAGGGGTGGGAATGAGGATGAAAGTGGAGATGAAATACAAAAGAAAACACTACCCATGAAAAGCAGTATTCTAGGAAATAAAGGTACTAGCAGAGAAAATGTGAATAGAAGACACATCCTTATCTGGAGATAATCTAATAATACATGCACAGATGGACCTCCCTGATAACATATGTAAACCACAGATTATAACTTTTCAGAAACATTGATATTAGAATTCCACCCACCCTTCCTTTTTTAAACTTTTCCTGGATTAGCAAGCTCAACCCTAGTCTTTTTCCTCCTAAGTCAAGCAGAGTGGGACATCAATGAGGAGTTCATTTTAAACCTCTGAAAATCAAACGCCAAAGGAGAGGCTGAGTTTACCTGGACTCTTAACTGACTCTGAACCGCAAGGACCTAGTCCTCTTTGTCAACTGCGACCTTGCAACAAGCTCTTAGTCGTCTGTTGGGATGGTGGTGACGATGGTAAGTGCGATGCTGAGCTTTGCATCTGAGACTCCCTCTTCTTCGGGGGCCTGTTTAAGGGAGGCTTCCCTTCATGGGAGGAGAAGAAAAAAGAGATATTGCCCTTTGATGGAGAGGAAGGGAAGGAAGAAAAATCTTTCTCTTTCTGCCAGCATAGAGGAGTCACACAGCCTTGGGTTGGACTTTGAACCCCAGTTTCCTCATCTGGGGACTCAAGAAATATCTACCTGCGTTTGTTGTGAAGGTGAAATCTGATGATGGGTAGAGTCTGTTCCTGGCACACAGGAGGCCCTCAAAAAGTGTCTTTTCTCCCCAAAGAGCGTAGGAGGAAAGAAGAGTAAGCGTCTACAGAGGTACAACTCCGACCTCCCAAATCTGACTCCGTAAGACCACCAATTTGCCTCCCGGGAGGGTGACTGCCCAGCCCCGCGCCTGCCGAGTGCCGCCAAAGCCTCGACGGCGGTCCCCGGCGCCTGCGGGAAGGACCGCCTCACTCACCTGGGGCGCCGCTAGCTGCGAGCTGGCTCTGCCCGCGGCCCCGCGCTGCCGGCTTCTTATAGAAGCGGGCGTCGGAGCAGCGGGGCAGCGGCCAATGAGAAGGGAGGGCCGGCGGGTGTGGGGCGTGGGTACTCCCGGCGGATGGGTGGGGCGGGGGGGTTCGGCTGAGCCCCGGAGGCTGGGGGCAGTCGCGTCCGCCTGCTGCCAGAGACTCGCACGCCTCGATCTCTGCGTGTATCTGACTGGTGTTTTAATTAAGTGAATATTAGGCCATCCTTAACTACAGAAGTGTGACTAACGTTGTACAATTCAGAGTTGGACATTCTCTCCAAACCAAGATAACGTCTGTAATCGACACAATGACCTGTTATAGGACTGCAGTGCTTCTGGCCTGTTGGAGACCAAAGCGGGAATTCCCCCACCTCCCACACCTCTCTGTGCTTCTAGGCTGTTTAGCAGCCCAGTCCTGCCTCATTATTCTCTTGGTGCTTTCCCCCATTCCTTGAGGCAGAGCAACAGTTGAACTTTTTAGAAGGGAAGTGTTCAGTGCCCTTCTAATTAAAAAAAATTTTAAGCTGCAAGCAGAGAAGCATTCTATATTAGCAAAAAAATCATGTTACGTGCTATTATGAACAACAGGACACAGATGCAAAAATTTGGAATAGGTATTTATTGGTTGAGTCGATTAGCTCCTATCCCAAAGGACTGTATTCGGAACACAGTATATTATAGGACATTCTTTTCTCCAATGTTTGAAAAGTAAGATTTATTGATGTATAATTTACACACAGTAATAGTCACCCTGTGAGGTGTACAATTCTGAGTTTTGACAAACATGTACAGTTGCGTAACCACCAAATGATCAAAATATAGAACATTTTCATCTCTCGAGAAAGTTCGCTTGTCTCAAGTCTCTCACCTCACAACCAGCCCCTGGCAGCCACTGATGTGATTTCTGTCTCCATAGTTTTGCCTTCTCTAGAATGTCATAGAAATGGAATAATGAAATATGTACAGATTTTTGGCTCCTGGCACTTAACATAATGCTTTTGAGTTTCATGTTGCAGGTATTAGTGATGTGTTCCTTTTCTTTCCTGTTTTCTTTTTTGCTGAGTACGGATGTACTTTAAAGCTCAGGATCTTTACAGCTTTTCTATGCATTTTTCTTTTATCTGTATAGTGCTTCTATGAGGTAAATATTATTTTTATTTTACAGA